TTAGTATGGTCAGTTTTTAATAGGAAAACAGAGGGACCTGGCAGGAACACCAGAAATTTCACACAAAGGAAGTAATATAAAGAGAACAGGATGCTTTTTTCAATGGCACCCATTCAGATCAGTGCAACATAAAGGCACAGCAATTTTGAAAAGGTGCCTGCACTACTTTGGTGTGGCTTTGGTCCAGAGAGTGCAAGGGCCCATTCACACTTATGCGATGTTAGACATGACAAGTCGCAAGACAAGTCGCAGCGCATTGTTTGAAATGGCACCTGTTCAGATTGGTGCAACTTAAAGTTGCCTGCACTACTTTGGTGCAACTTTTGATGTGACTTTGGTCCAGAGAGTGTAAAGCTGGATCAAAGTCACACCAAAAGTCGTATCAAAGTTGTACTCCAAAGTTGGAGTAAAACTTTGATGCAACTTTTGGAGATTTTGATCCGACTTGGCGATCTTGCTACTGCTAGAGTAATATGCAGAAAGGAGAAGCACTTGCAGAATTGGAAATGTTGATGATTAGAAAATTTGAGCTGGAGATAAATTGAAGTGATGACACACTGGTTCTTATGCGCTGCACATCAGCTACCATTTCAGATAGTCGGATTATGGGAATGAATGCACTGTCTGCTGGAAGAGAGATGAAGCAAAGCAAGAGAAATAGAGAGATTGACACAAAACTAAAGCCAGTCGTTAACATCTGTGGGTTATAAAAGCAAGATTTGATTATCTCAGGAAATAACTTGAATGTTTGTTTTCCTTTTCAATGTCATTATCTCTGTTAATATTAATCACTTCTACTTAGGAACCAAAGTGCTGTCTGCTCCTATAAGATTGAGGACATTGAGTTGGTTTTCAACACTTCAGACTTGTTTGAGTCTTCAGGAAAAGATCTAAAAATTCGTCCAGGGAAGGTAATTTCCAGCTTGTATCTTCTATATTATATATACTTGAAACTTTAGTGTGGCATTTCCTAACACTTTTTGACTACTAATCCCATAGCTTCTTCTATATCTGTTGTAATCCATTCAGTTTTTATCATCATTATAACATCTTATTCTACTTTTTCTGTTTCAGTGCCGCTCAGAACTTACTCCACAGGATACAGCAGAAGAAGCCGCCAACCACCCTGAACTCGTTGACTGGATTTGGCCTTCAGGAAATAAAACTGTTTTTCAGACTTTAGATAATTACAGAAAACTGGTGGTTGATGAGATAACAGCTGATGAAAAAATCTACAGGGTCATTATAGTAGCTACAGGTAATCTGAAAAAAAAAAAAATACCTGACCCAGTAACATTGCTCAATTTTCTACCATTTTTATATAGTAGTTCAAATCATTAACCATATACAACATTTCATATACTGTATATGGCCTTATGTCTATGAATGCTTGCCATCTCATAAAGTCTCTTAAGCTGGAGGAAAATAAGTAAATAACACACAAAAAGTTCTGTGACAATCTTTTTTGTAAATGACGTAAAAATGAGGCATTGGTCCTAATGAGAATGGTGCTGGATGCTGTTGTCAGGGTATATGGCTTGAGAGGCATGGGCTGGCAGGGTTGTGGACAGTTTTCTATGTGTCACTTAAGTTTCTCACCTACTCATGTTAAGGGGCTTCAGGAATTGTGTCTGTTATGAAGAAAAAAAACTTTTTGACGGCTTAGATCTTAAAAAGTTCTGCTCTGGGTCCTAGAGACTGGGGGCTTTGTAGAGCTTTGGGACAGATAAAGTCTCCATATTTGGGTCCACATCTTAACTGTTAGTGCTCTTTCACATTTGTGGTAGCCTATGGTGCCCTCTGAAGAGCGATTCAAGTTTGGATCACTTTTTAAGGAGCCATTTGACAGGATGTGAGGAGGTGGAGGGCAGAATGTTTCCACACTGATGCATTGTTTTCTATTAGCGTATTGGCCAGTGCAGAGTTCCCCCTCATTGGTATTTTGTACATTCCTAAAATATTGACTGCTTACACCATGAGATAAATAATAAATGTGTTTTTCTTGGGCTTTTAGACTTGATGTGCACTTTTCGGAGGGCATTTGAAAGGCAGGGAGGAGGCATTATAACGCTTCCTCCCCGCCTGATTTGACTCTATAATGCTGCACTGCCACGCCACGATTTTGTGCATTGCACACGGTTACAGTGTGGCTCCATTAAACTCAATGGGCAAGTTTAGCAGAGGTATTACCTATCAAGGTCTGCATCCTGAGTTAAAATTGCCAAAGCTGCAGCATCTGTATGGCCCTATGCAGCTGTATTGGGACAGTTCATGTGGGTAGCCAACGGGTGGTCTTTACCCCCCAGCCACCCATCTGAAAGAGTACTTAGACTAAAGGGGCTCTCTCACTCTCTCTCTCTGCTGAATAGTGGACCTGTATGTTAGGTGCAGAAGAAATGAGATCTCTATGTGTGTGATGTGCGTATAACATGTCCTAACTTTTATCTCTAGATAATGGAGCCTTGCACAAGGTTGTAGAGCTAGATGATGGTGCTCTGAATGTGTTGGAAATGAAGCCCTTCAACGAAAAGAGGAAGATCTTGTACTTGGATCTAAGTAATAGAGAGGTGAATACACTAAATGATGGATAGTGAACAAAGGAATGAATATCAGATACTAAATCTCATGAATAAACCTGCCATGAGATGCCAGAACTATAGCACAAGAATTTCAGGTTAAGACAAACCAATCCTATCATGAGACAAGGAACTTTATCTCGGGTGGCATCCTGCTTCCTTCTCCTAGAGACACTGCAGAAGTATACATCCCTGTACTGTGTTCTCATTGCCCATAGCACCAAAGTAAGCAGAGATTTGTTGGCGGGGGGGATCTCAAAATGTTTAGCAATTCCTAATGAAATCTTGGTTACACACTTACTGGACTTATGACCTGCATGACTTCTCTGCTCTTACCATGGTGCATTTGTTTCTTACTGTGTTTTTCTCCTTTTCCCTCTCACTTCTGTTTGTTGGGGACAAGATGTGCATATTAGTTGCAGTTATGTGCACTGCGCTATACACACTACAATTCCCATAGTCCACAGTCTCAAGTACATGTCGAGAGCGAGACAGAGAGGTTGGCTACATCCCTACATAAAGTGGGAACATGGGAAACAAATGTAACCACCTCTAACAGGAATATGACTCACAGCAAAAAAAAAAAAAAAAAAAGGAATTTGGCAATTTGCAAGAGAGTGAGAGAACAATAGAAGGGGCTTTTTTTTAGTTCGTGTTACTAAACCCACAACAGTAAAATCAGTCTGTATATGCAGTACAACATGCTTGTTAAACTCACTGTGGAACTTAAGGGGTTAATCCCTTGCAGTGTGTAAAAAAGGATGTTTGATCCTGTCTTCTCTGATCCTTCCCTTCTTCCACAGCCCCCAATCCATTTGCTGATAGATCAGAACCTTTGGGGAAAGCTGCACATGCTCAGTTTGGTGTGTATTTCTAGAGAGTTTTTTTATTTCTTGGGAAAGTGCATGTGATCAACATTGGGCCAATCAGAGCTGTCCAGACAGGGGGTCAAGGGTTATGCAATCTCATAGGACAATCAGGGGAAAATGTCAACTTCTACAAGCTTTAAAGTGGTTGTAAAAGCTTTACCTTCATGCATTCTATGCATGAAGGTATATAACCTTCTGTGTGCAGCAGCTCCCCCAGCTGCCTCAATACTTACCTGAGCCTCATCGTGATCCAGCGATGTGAATGACAGCCTGTACTGTCATGGGTCTCTGCCTCCTCATTGGCTGAGACAGCAAGCCATTGGCCCCCACTGCTGTCAATCACAGCCAGTCAGCTAATGAGGAGAGAGAGGGGTGGGGCCAAGCTGCTTGCTTTGGGGGCACCCCACAGACAGGAGGAGCCAGGAGAGCCTGTGGAGGACCCAAGACGACGAGGATCCAGGATGTTCTGTGCAAAACCACTGTACACAGCAGTCAAGTATAGACATGTTTGTTGTTTTACAAAAAAAAAAAAAAAATGAACCTGTAGAATCGCTTTAACCAGTGCTCTACTGGACGCTGATAGCAGTCACAAGACTTGCTTTTCCATGTTCTGTGTACTGTGGGAGACAAGATATAGTGAATGCATGGTCCTGGGTTTAATAACACTTTAACCCCTTGGTGCCGGCACCTCCTGGCCCTTTAAGGGTTTCAGAAGCCGGGAGGTAAGGCGGGGTTTAGAGTCATGTGACCGCCGTGACACGCCGTCACATGATCGAGAAAGGTCCTGATCGAAAGAGGAGATCGGGACCTTTCCGTGAGTACCGCGATCCCAGGACATACGTTTTCCTTAATTGCAGGCAAATGTGCGGCCGCTGTGCATCAAGGCCCAGACGCCGGGAGGCTGCACATTTGCGTGTGGCCGGCATTGAGGTTAAGGACCAGTTCATAACACATGCAGTCCAGTGCATTTTCTGCATCAAAAAACACATTGACAGTAGGTTACATGGTTTCCAGTGGCATAGTTCACACCAGTGCGGTCAGTTCCACTGCGTTCCAGTTCCAGAGAAAAAAGTAGAACATGCTGCATTTTTTCTGCACTGAACTGTACTGGAACGCAGTAAAACACATAAAACATGCAACTGAACGCACCAAAAAATGAACATGTCCTTATTTAAGTTGAAAAAAAAAAAAAGGGAGGGGGAAAAAATTAACCAGAACGCATCAAAAACGCACTGGAACGCATCAAATGCACATACTCATTCTGCTTTCTCTGGAAGTTTTACACATCACATTATGAAAGCCAGTAATCCCCACAAGTCTCCTATTTCTTGATCATCGTTGTTCATATTGTATGATTCATATACACTACACAGTATTTCACAATCAGTAATAGAGAAAAATGTGTGGGATGTGACACGGATAAAGTTACGTAGCTCAACATACAGTAAATATCATTGATTCATTTGCTGACCGTTGTGTGTGTGTTTTTTTTTTTTAACAGCATGTGTTGTATGTGGGAACTACTCATGAATTTTCCAAACTCCATCTGGATGACTGCAGAGCTTATAACAAAAGCTGTGCAGACTGCCTCTTATCAAGAGATCCATATTGTGGCTGGTATGGCGGAAAATGTCAGTCTATTCTGAATAAACGGTATGTGTCATATCCTGTGCCTGCTCCTATAACACTTTGTGTTTTCTTTCATTGATTTAGGCTACTCTTAGCTGCATTTTTCTTGAGCAATTTCGGCTTCTAAAAAAACACATTACAAAGGCACAGTTAAATGAAACCTCTTTCTATGGCAGTGGTTCTTAACCTTGTTGGAGGTACTGAACCCCACCAGTTTCATATGCGCATTCACCGAACCCTTCTTAATTGGAAAAATAAAATATGATTTTTAAAATTCAAAACATAGGTATATATTTATACATAGGTGCACAAAATGAACAAAACCGTTAAGAACAAAGTACAAAACCATTAAAACATGATTTTCACACAAAAACAAAAACAGAATAATGAATATTTACTGCACGAATCATATGAGTCGGGTGTGGGTCTTCACCTCCGCCGAACCCGCGAGACTGACTCACCAAACCCCTGGGGTTCGATCGAACCCAGGTTAAGAACCACTGTTCTATGGTGATACCCTTTCATTTGCAATGGTCTTTGTCTATTACCTGCTGGAAGCTACATTGCTGCATACAAGCAAAGGCTTACTTCTAATTAAAAGGAACTAACAGCTATTCTTGTCACATGTCTAAGGAGCAGCTGTTCTTATTTCTGCTTTTGAGTTGCAGGGTTACTAAAGATTAGGGACTAACCTTTAACCTTTTCTCATGTATCATAATGTAATATAAATGCTAGCAGCTGCACCTTTCCACCTCCCAATATCTATGCTAACTAACTGTGTAAAAAAAAAAAAAATATTATATATATATATATATATATATATATATATATATATATATATATACATATACAGTTGCAAGAAAAAGTATGTGAACCCCTTGGGATTACGTGGAGTTTTGCATGAATTCAGCATAAAATGTGCTCTGAACCTCATCTAAGTCACAACAATAGAAGAACACAGTCTGCTGAACATAATACTACACAAACATTAGATGTTGCCATGGTTTAATTGCACATAACATGTACACATTCACAGTGCAGGGAGGAAAAAGTATGTGAGGCCCTAGGTTAATGACTTCTCCCAGAGCTAATTGGAGCCAGGAGTGAGCCAACCTTGACTCCAATCAGTGTGATGATATTGGATGTGTTGCTGACAGCTGTCCTGCCCCTAAAAAACACACACCTGTTTTGGGTTTACTGGTTTCAAGAAGCACTGTCTGATGTGAACCATGACTCGCAGAAAAGAGCTCTCAGAAGACCTACGATCAAGAATTGTTGACTTGCATGAAGCTGGAAAGGGTTACAAAAGTATCTCCAAAAGCCTTGATGTTCATGTGTCCACGGTAAGACAGACTGTCTAGAAATGGAGAAAGTTTAGCACTGTTGCTACTCTCCCTAGGCATGGTCGTCCTGTAAAAATGACTGCAAGAGCACAGCGCAGAATGCTGCATGAGGTAAAGAAGAATCCCAGAGTGTCAGCTAAAGACCTACAGAAATCTCTGGCACATGCTAACATTTTTGTTGACACATCTACAATAAGGAAAACATTAAACAAGAATGGAGTACATGGGAGGACACCAGTGAGGAAGCCATTGCTGTCCAAAAAGAATATTGCAGCACGTTTGAAGTTTGCAAAAGAGCACCTGGATGTTCCACAGCACTACTGGCAAAATATACTGTGGACAGATGAAACCAAGATTGAGTTGTTTGGGAAGAACACACAACACTATGTGTGGAAAAAAAAAGGCACAGCACACCAACATCAAAACCTCATCCCCACTGTGAAACATGGCGGAGGGAGCATCATGGTTTGGGGCTGCTTTGCTGCCTCAGGGCCTGGACGGATTGTTGTCATTGATGGGAAAATGAATTCCAGAGTTTATCAAGACATTTTGCAGGAAAACGTACGACCATCTGTCCGCCAACTGAAGCTCCGCAGAGGATGGGTGATGCAACAAGACAATGACCCAAAGCATACAAGTAATTCAACAAAACAATGGCTGCAACAGCACAGAATACACCTTCTGGAGTGGCCCAGTCAGAGTCCTGACCTCAACCCGATTGAAATGCTGTGGCATGACCTTAAGAGAGCTATTCACACCAGACATCCCAAGAATATTGCTACACTGAAACAGTTTTGTGAAGAGGAGTGGCCCAAAATGACTCCAGATCGTTGTGCAGGTCTGATCTGCAACTACAGGAAACGTTTGGTTGAGGTTATTGCTGCCAAAGGAGGGTCAACCAGTTATTAAGTCCAAAGGTTCACATACTTTTTCCTCCCTGCACTGTGAATGTTTACATGTTATGTGCAATTAAACCATGGCAACATGTAATGTTTGTGTAGTATTATGTTCAGTAGACTGTGTTCTTCTATTGTTGTGACTTAGATGATGTTCAGAGCACATTTTATGCCCAATTCATGCAAAACTCCACGTAATCCCAAGGGGTTCACATACTTTTTCTTGCAACTGTATATACACACACACACACACACACACATACATATACATATATATACACATACATACATATACATATATATATACACATACATACATACACACACACACTTTTTTTTTAGGCGTTCCTGTCCGGTCATGTGATCCAGCTCTTCAGTGCCATCCATTACTATTATTATTATACAGGATTTATATAGCGCCAACAGTTTTCTCAGCGCTTTGCAATATAAAGGGAGACAATACAGCAACGATAGAGTTCAATACAAGAGGGGGTTGGGAGGGCCCTGCTCCTTGGAGCTTGCAATCTAAGAGGGAGGGGCTGGTGGTACAAAAGGTAATAACTGTGGGGGATGGACTGGTAGGAGGAATAGAAGATTCCATTATTAGCGGAAGGTGGGATAGGCTTCACTGAAGAGATAGGTTTTCAGAGATCTCCTAGAAGTGGGCAGATTAGGCGATAGTCATATAGATTGGGGTAGAGAGTTCCAGAGCATGGTGAGGCTCTGGAGAAGTCCCGGAGATGAGCATGGGAGGAGGAGACAAGAAGCTAGAGAGCAGGATGTCATGGGAGGTGCAGAGAGGACGGTTTGGGTGATATTTGGAGTCAAGATTGGTGATGTAATTTGTGGTAGAGTTATAAATGGCTTTATATGTTATTGTTAATGTTTTGCATTTTTTTTTTTTTTTGGCAATGGGAAGCCAGTGGAGGGATTGGCAGAGAGGGTTGGCAGATATGGAATGGTTAGTAAGGTGGATGAGTCTGGCAGCAGCATTCATGATAGACTGAAGAGGGGATAACCTGTGATTAGGTAGGCCAATGAGGAGGGAGTTACAATAGTCAAGGCCAGAGATGACAAGGGAGTGAATAAGTTGCTAGTGGTTTCAGAGGCGAGGGCCGTAGATAAGGGGGTACCACCAGTCCTCCTGTACAGTGCCCAGGCCATCAGGGGGGCCCAGGAAGCAGGGTGCATCAAAGAGGGTGGTCGGCAGCTGAAAGCTGGCTTTTTCTCCTCTCCATCTTGCCAGCTTTCTGCTGCAGCAGAGAGAGCCACACAGAGGATCAGTTCCAGTAATTGCACCCCTGCCGCACCAATCAACCTCACTCTGTACCATACATTTGCCCCTGCTGCCCAGGCCCTCCTGTGTGCTCCCACCCCCGCAGTGCTCTCAGCTTCCTTCCTCTCCTTCATGCTGGCAGCTGTAAGCACACAATAGGATCTTTCAGAATGGACAGCGGGGGGAAGGGTCAAGTAAATATGTCACATTTACCAGCTCCTTCCTTTCATGAACACAATGAGTGATCACTACCGATCATTCACCGTATTCATTCATGACTGAAGCATAGTAAATTGTGTTTATTTGGGGAGGGGAGGGTTCACTTTCAGGTTGACTGTATGAGGTCCCGTGGTTTCTAACAGCAGCCTTGTCCATGGAAAATTCAAGCAGGAGTGCTGACAATATATGGGCCCATAAAGTAAAAAACTGAGCAGGCAGGTAGGCTGTCTCCTCTTCAATAAAATGCCCCTACCTGCCTGCTTGCTGTCTGCTCTGGAACTGTAAACTGGGCTGCGTATGCTTACAGTACTGGGGTTGGTCTCCAAGTGCCAGGATGACAATCTCCTGTGCATGCGCAGGAGTGACATCATCCCCCATCAACCAATGAAGAGGCCCGGAGACTGGCACACAGAAGAACATGCTGAAGCAGGACCGTTGGACAGGTAAGTAAGGAGACTTTAAGGAGGAAAAAAAGCACCTCTAAGTGTAATATGTAATGGTATTTATTTGGAAACAATGTAAAAGCACTCACACTGTATTAAAATTAAGACATCTCAAGTGAATGGAATGGTAGCCAAGTCCTCGCTGCTCTGACCACGTCTGCACTACTGAAGACTATGGATGTCACAGAGAAGCCGGCCGGTGTGTGGAGTCTCTGAAGATAGCGTCCGGAGTGCACCTAGAAGCGCAATGTCGGCGTCAGCGTGATGACGTATGGGAGACCAGTATGCAAAGCGACGCGTTTCGGAGCATGTGCTAAACCACTAAGGGCGGAAGTGTGCTCCCTTATCAAGCTGAAGACGGAGGCCGTAGTCAATATATATATATATGTAAGTGGCGGTTGTGCATAACACCCTTAGTGGTTTAGCACAGGCTCCGAAACGCGCCGCTTTGCATGCTGGTCTCCCATACATCATGCTGATGCCGACGTTGTGCACCAAGGTGCACTCCAACGCCATCTTCAGAGACTCCACATGCCGGCCGGCTTCTCTGTGACATCCATAGTCTCCGGTAGTGCGGACGTGGCCTGTGCAGCAAGGAATCGGCCATCATTCCATTCACTTGAGCCTTCTCAATTTTAATACACTGAGTGCTTTTACATTGTTTCCAAAAAAATACCATTACATATTACACTTAGAGGAGTTTTGTTTTCTTCCTTATTCCTAAACAGAGCCTGCTACAGTTAGAAGAGCTTGCCCTAGTGCTATTTGGGCCAGGGGCGGACTGACCATTTGGAAACTCGGGCACTGCCCGAGGGCCTGGGGTCAGTAGGGGGCCCCATAAGATGCCCCTGGTACCTTTTTCATAGGCTTTTTTGAGTTTGGTCAAGGACACAGGGGCCCCATGATCCCCTATTGCCCGGGGGCCCCATGAGTTGTCAGTCCGCCCCTGATTTGGACTCATTTATGACATTGGACTTTTATATATTTTATCTTGTGCCCCTTGCCAATAGGATTTGGGGATCTGTATGCGCTGATTTCCTCTGCTTCAAGTAAGGAGACTTTAGCTCATCTAACTCTTATGGGTGACATCACTGCTTCAGGATTTACTAGCTGTTGTTGGAGTACTCCCTCCTTTCCAGCAAAGAACCGGCAAAAATTTACTAAGTAGAGTGTGTCCTTGCCACTTGGTAATAATAAAAGCATGGCAATATCTTCCTACACTGCAGTTCCCTATTTAGGTTAGCAGAGGTGGATTTTACTACCATGAATAACTGTACTTTACATATAAAAGCTGTTCTTTTTATTGTATTGTTAACCACTTCCAGTCTGGGCCAATTCTGACGTTTCTCACATACGTGTTATAATCAGCATTTGTTTGCTAGAAAATTGCTTAGAACCCCAAAACATTATATATTTTCTGAAAGCAGAGGACCTAGAGAATAAAATGGTGATTGTTGCAATTTTTATGTTGCATGAATTGTTCACAGCCATTTATCAAATGCAAATTTTCAGGAAAAAGTACACTTTAATGCATTTTAGTGCATTTTAATGCACACAAACAAAATATACCCAATTTTCGGGTATACCCAATCAAAGATGATGTTGCGTCAAGTAAATAGATCCTAGACCTGTCAAGATTTGACCTTTTTCTTGACCATGAAATGGCAATAAGCTACAGTACCTAAACTCTCCATAGGTGATCTTTTAAAAGTCTTTACAAGTTACACGTTTAGAGTGAGTGAGTGAGTATGTGAGCTCTGGTGATAGAATTGTTGCTCTCACTTTGATGTTTGCTATAATACCTGACGTGGGGGGCAGTCACTGTTTACATATGCATGTTGAACTTACGTGCGGGTTCGCATTTGCCTGTGAGCATGGGGGAACATGCGTACTTTAGTTTTTTTTAAGGTTGTATTATTTTATTTTTATTTTTTTACACTGTTTCTTTAAATGTTTTTTGGATCAACGTTATTGCTGTCACAAGGGATGAACAATATCCCTTGTGAGAGCATAGGCAGTGACAGGTACTCTTTACGAAGAGATCTGTTAAACCCCTGATCTCTCCTATGCTCTCATAAACATCTGATCAAACCAATATCAGTTTGATCAGATGCTTGCCTAGCCAGTAATGGGCTAGTAGGCACACAACTGTAACCGGAAGTGACATAATACATATTGCTTCTTGCTTCATTTGTCACAGAAGAGGGGAAGGAACAGATATTCCTCTCCTCCTCGGTCTACAGCTGTCCCACTGAATGTAGCAATGGCGGCAGTGGGGGGGCTTCTGTGCCCGGTAAAAGTGATCAGACAGCTGTGAGCTGCTCAGATCACTTTTACTAGAAAGAGGATGACTGGATCTAAAGAAATTGCAGCTGTAGCCATGATCCTGGTATACCCACTTGTTTCCTAGCCTAGTATGGGTATGTACTAGGGACAGGAAGTGGTTGAATCAGTTTGATTGCTTTTGTGTTTTATTGTATTGTTTCAGGAATTGTTTTTACTCTTTCATTGCTTTTATTACACATGAGGAACTTATGTTTCTTGTTTCCTCTTTTAAAGCGTTAAGCCATTATTGAATTTGACCCTGGGAGCCACATGTGAGCTGAGTAAGTACCACTTATATACAGGGTAATAATCAAAAGTGTATCTAAATGTTTGAGGACCCAATGCAACATGTGAACCACGGTCAGCACCACGTTACGAGATAAGTGGGGCCAGAGCAAGGGTCACCTCAGCAGGCCGTCGCTAGTTATTTAAAGTAATATTTATATTGTGCATTTCAAACAACTTTCATCTTTGAGGGTTATTTGACACTTTGGAGGTTTGCAGAAGGAAATTCAACAGTACTATTAAAGCAGGCGTACAGTATGTTAAAGTTTTACTAAACCCACAACAGTAAAATCAGTCTGTATATGCAGTAAAGCATGCTTCTTATACGCACTTTGGAACCTAAGGGGTTAATCTTTTGCATTGTGTAAAAAAGGTGGTTTGATCCTGTCTTCTCTGATTCTCCCCTTCTTTTAATGTCCCCAATCCATCTGCTATACTTAGAGCAGCAGTGGCAAGACTGCACACGCTCTGTTTGGTGTGTATTGCTAGAGATTTTTTTTTTTTTGGGAGGGTACATGTGATCAGAGCAGGGCCAATCAGCAGTGTTCAGACAGAGGGTCAGGGGTTATGCAGCTCCACAGGACAGTCAGAGGGGAATGCAAACTCCTCCTGCAAGCTTTAGCCAGTGCTCAGCTGGACACTGATAGAAGTCATAAGACTGCTATATGATGCTGATGAGAAAAGGTATTTAGCAGTTTATATTTACTAAAATAATTGCATTTCCATGTTCTGTGTGCTGTGGAAAACTGGATATAGTAAATGCAGGGTCATGGGTTTAGTGACACTTTAAATGTTCCTTCTGTAATTTGTCAATGCTGTTAATGTGATAACAACAATGTTTTATTTTGAAAGTTTAATTAAACAGTTTTTTTTTTCTTTATTCATGTGGAAGAAAATGGGTACTAGTCCAGTGATCTGGTATTAAACTAGCAAAAGTACTTCAAACCCTTCTGCTATGGGGATTATAGCCATTTTACAATAGACTGGTATATCCTAATAGGCAGTGTCAGGCAATTTATTAACATAAATTCCATTGTCTCATCTGTAAAAGACAGGCATAGTGCCCACAAGCCATATGGCACAGCACAGGCCATAGTGTTCACAACCCCCTATTTCCCTCTAGCAGCGACTAAGGTTTATTCTCAATGTAGTGTCTCTTTAAATCTAACTACAAAGTTTCTTTTTTATCTAGACTCCAAATCTCTGCCTCAAAAAGGAAGTCTGTCACCATCTTCAAATGAAAATAAAGAGCTACCGCCGTCTGTCTATTGTATAACATGCCCAGCAGAATCAAAGCAAGCCACCTATTACTGGACATATGGTGACCACAAGGAAAGTTGCACCCCACACAATGGCAAATGCAACTTGTTCTTTGACAATATCAAAGCCAATGGAGAATACAGATGTATAGAAGAAGAACATTCAAGAAAACGTTTGGTATCAGAGTATATTTTTCCTTTGGAAAATAGCTCCTCGATGATGAGAAATGGCTGGCTGGTGGCACTAGTAATTTCAGTGTGTATCACAATATCCATTTGATGCCCCTGAAAATAGCTGAGATTTCCCAGCCTAAGCCACCACTGATATATGGTATTGAATTGCAAAGATGGAATGAGCTGGGAGATAACGCAAACATGGAAAGGTCTAAACATGATGGGAATCCGACATATGAATGATACAGTGCCTTGAAAAAGGTATTCACACCCCTTGAAATTTTCCACATTTTGCCATGTTACAACCAGAAACATAAATGTATTTTATTGGGATTTTATGTGATAGACCAACACAAAGTGGCACAAATCACAATAAAACACATGTGGAAAATTTCAAGGGGTATGAATACTTTTTCAAGGTACTGTATTTGACTACTGGCCACATTCAGGTCTATTCATATCTCAAAGATCTTATCAGACTTTTCTTCTAAGATCTTGTGGCCGAAGGGCAGGGTAAGGCTGACCATAGACGGGACGTTTATCGGACGAATTGTCAGCCAATAAACGAAAAATCGGTCGTTGCTGCCACCAATGCTTATGAAAAACATCTGTTTTTCATAGATTTTACAGCATGACCGATAAAAAGAAAGGACAAGAACCGTGAAAATCGGCTGACAACATTGCCCCACTAACGGTGTGAATATCGGCCGATTTTTCATTCGATCGACAATTTGATTGATAAATGTCCCATCTATGGCCTGCATTAGGGTATACCGTGGTCTAAAATATACTCACGGAAAGCATAACCATTTAATGTGAATGAATACTGTACATTTGCAGATGTCAATAACTATTTAAAATCATAATTTGATCTTATCCAGTAAACATTGGTCAAACAGAAGCAGCTAATATACAATGCTAATAAATATGAGTGATAGCTTTAGGTATCTAGTAGTATTTAGGTATAGTTTAAATCCAACGTGGGGAAAGTGAATAGCTGTAGCTGAATAGCTGTAATGAAGGGCTATTTGCCCTTCATAAATGTGTCCTTTGTGTGGACAGATAACAGCTACTTTTTAAATAGCTTTTTCACATTTGCAGCACAGTTGAAAAGCAGGAATGAGTGAACTTTCTTGCTATACAAAAACTATTTTTGTGCTGTAGTAGAGACAGGGACGGACTGACAACTCATGGGGTCCCCGGGCAATAGGGGATCATGGGTCCCCTGTGTCTTTGCCCAAACTCAAAAAAGCCTATGAAAAAGGTACCAGGGGCATCTCATGGGGCCCCCTACTGACCCCGGGTTTCCAAAATGGTCAGTCCGCCCCTGAGTAGAGACCTCCAGCAGTTTCCAGTCCTCTGTGGTTTACCTACATGGAAGACAAGGAGAAAAGATATAAGGATTTTCTCTTTAAAACTGTGAAATAATGCTCTTTATGGGAAAAGTTCTCATACTTGAGGAATCCTTAAAAGTAAACATGTAGTCCGACTTATAGCATTAAGCTCTCCCTGGATAGCAGGAATATATATTGTAGTCCTAAGACATATCCCCCAACTTTTTGAGAAGGAAACGAGGGACACTTAGTAGCAAAAGTATCTAGGCATAGGACACATCCCCTGGCACGCCCCTTAAAGGATACTTATACAAAAAAAATGTGTTAGTTAAACCCACAAGTGCTTTTTTTTACCACTATTATTTATTCATATTGGCTTTTGAAATGTACAAATACAGAAATTTAAAATTTGAATGAAAGGTTTAGCACTGGGAAACACTTTTTGAAAGATAAATAGTGCATTTTATATACAACTTTTATATACAACTATATAGATCAGACCAAAATGAGAGATGAATGAGGAGGAAAGAGGGACTTTGCTCCAAATCAGGGACAGTCCCTCGAAATCAGGGACAGTTGGGAGCTATGCCTAAGAGTATAGACCTTGCTAAGAAAATAACTAATAAATCCAAACTACAATTGTTTGAAATGTGTTGACCTTTACGTGTTTGTAGTTTTAACTCCTGGCAAACAAAGAGGTTTGGATTTTAGCCCCTAGGCTGAAACCAATGTTTTTCTTTGCCTAGAAGACACCCTGCTACCAGACCATTAATTCTATCAAAAATCTTCTCATAAGATTATACAGTATGTAAAAGTCATGTATTTTATGCATGTTATTTACCTGTAAAAGGCCTGGGTGTCACCATCTTGGATGTGATGGCTGCATCGCCAGTAGACTCAAAACTGTCACTCAAATCACACTCTATTGTTTTTCCCTTTACACCTCTTATGGCTACTACATAAATAGTAAACATTTCAAATACTTGATTCTGGAGCTTTTATCTAGAATCACAAAGTTGTTGACAGGGTCTCCCTTGCTTTCCCAACTGAGTTTGCCTGGTATTAAGTTGCTCAAATGTTATGATATGCCTACTTTAGCCATACCTAAGAGATCTGGCAACCTAAGAAGTTGTGGTAGCACTAAGAGTTAGTGTAGAAGAATGTATTATTCACCACCATATGGTGTTCACATTCCAAGGAGCTTGACTTATTACTTTGTGTTTGACTACAAGTTTACTTTGAGCCATAACTACCAGCTCTGGTACTCGGTGTCTTATTATGTACCAATGCTTTCTTGTATGGTAGTCCTGTGATGTGATGGTGGCCCAATGGCAATGTAACTTGCCATCATCTATTCCATTACTTTAAACTGGGGCCCAGTAATGTATATGCATTAAACTGCACTAAACAGCAATGGCCATGATAACGTTAAACCTATTTTTGTATTTTTGTTTATGCACTGTGGACAGATTGAATTTTGTTAAGAGTATTGGAAACAGAATATTAGAAAAAAACAGGCTATTTAATGTGTTAATCTGAGAAAAGAGCTTGCAAAGATGTACTGTCTAAGTATGCAAGTATGAGCAGCTCCTGATGGTACTGCTTACAAACAGTGCATGAACAAGTAGGAGCGGGGGGAAGAATCAAGCCATCTCATAGGGAATTTTTCAAAAAGTTATAAAAAAATCTCACTACTAAAATGAGCACCTCCCTGCCCCTTATTATTTCTTAGGAAATCAGATATCGCCCAGTAACCACAAATCATGCTAGTAATCAGTAGCATTTTGGTAATTATCAACCTGTCTATGACCACCCATAGTTGACTTATATTTATTTGAATCACAGAAGCAGTAGCAAGCCAGAAAAGTCAAAGAACTGTGTGCTGCCTCAAGTTGAGAAATATATGCCCTAAAATATGTGATCTGATAGGAAGCACCACATCTGCTGCCATAAGTCCTGCCTCAAAGGTTTGTCCTCTTTTTCTTGCTGAGGGGTGGAAAACACCATGACTGAACTTACCCTTGTAAAACAATTCTTTTGCTGATATGTTTAACTGGATGTAATTTTTATATGATTTTTATTTATTTAAAAAAAGTAATCATTTGTCTATTTATGATTGTTTTTTCACAATGCCTGTATTGTTTTATGTTTGGTGAGTATTTTACTACTGCTGTATAGTTATAATTTTCATCCTTTTTTAGGCACTAACACAATTGACCAGAATGTTTAGTGACTCATATAGTGATGTTCCTGTGGGGCATTTAAAGAGAAAAATATATTCCTAAAACATACCATCAGTAGAACATGCTACCAACCATTTTAGAAAAAAAAAAAAACATTTTGCATGCCACAATTGTGGGCAGTATTTCCTGTGCTATGTGAAAATGTGATACTCCCTGTGGCTGTCACTAACATTTCAGCACAATTTGTTATGCAATATTTATGAAGTTATAGAAATCCCGTCCTTAAGGAGAATGCTTGGCTAAACTATTCAAAACGCTACTGTAGCCACCAAAACACACCACATTCCAGGGCATGGAAAAAGTAGATATGCCCCTTGTCTATCATGCAGTGCTAAGGGTTTGCATGACCTAATGCCAGGTGCAAGTGCTTTGGTAGGGTGAGGGAGCATGCCTTATTCCCTTGCTACTGACAGTACGCATATATGTGGCCTCGCAGAAGTAGGCCTTTATCCGTGGGGCCGCATATATATGTGTATCTGTTTTTGTATTGGGTGTGCACCATTCATTGTGCTCCCAGCACAGAGACTGGGGTCTCATCGGTAGCCCCGGGTCCCGTACTAATGATTAAGAACCAGGACTCCCAGTTCTGGTTCACCTGGTCACTGTGATAGCCTCTGATTGGCTACCACAGTGATCAGTCACTGTGCAGCCCGCCCCTGTGTTTACTTTCTCTCTGAATGGAGTGAGAGATACATTGTATCTCTCCTTTTCAGGGAGAAAGATGTAAACAAAACAAGTGTGTAAAAAATAAAACTGAAAGAAAAAATAGCAAGATAAAGGTTTGATCTAGGTCAGTGCAAGGGTTAGTGTTTGGGTCAAGTAAGGGTCACAGGTTGGGGGCAAGGAACATGGTCAGTATATTTTGGGCAGATTTTAAAAAAACAAAAAATTTTTTAAAGTAGTGTCAGCATGTTTTAGGTTGGGTAAAAAAAGCAAAATGTGCACTATTGATTCTGGACTGTACTACAGGTACAAACAACAACTAAAATACACATACAGTTAGGTCCATATATATTTGGACACAGGCACAATTTTCTTTCCTCAGAATGTACCAAACTGTTGATATGGCCACTCCTAATGTTGCTGTTATCTCTCTGATGGATTTGTTTAGTTTTTGAAGCCTTACAATGGCTTCTTTCATTTGCATGGACAGATTCTTTGAATGCATGATGCACAGCAATAGATTCCAAATGCAAATACCACACTTAGAAGCAACTCCAGACCTTTTACCTGCTTAATTGATGAAGAAATAACAAAGGAGTAGCCCACACCTGGCCATGAAACAGCTTTTGATTCAATTGTCCAAATACTTTTGGTCCCTTGAAAAAGGGGGA